GAAAATTCACTGAAAATTAAACATTGACGTCTAGCAATTTCGTCATCATACAGAGTGCCCATTAAGCAAGGCACCACTGTATATAGAATCCTAGTTTGCCCAAGTGGAGGGGGAGGGTCATTTTTTTACATAGCATGTTACATTGGCTGGGACCATGAAGGATTCCCACAGCCAAAAACATTAATTTATTGGAATTCGTTTTGTCCCAGCAATCTTTTTTCTAGTTCAGAACCAAGAAGAACGAAAGCAAGAACCATCCTTGCCCCCATAACAGTAACCCTAAGCCTGTACATGGCCGTTGACTGATACGTGGCCGTTGACTGATATCTTTTACAACTTTTCAGGGGATAGTGTTGGAGAATATCCATCTTGTGTCTCTAGGTTTTTCTGTATTGTGCCACAAAATGTGACCCAAGGGGACTAAAATGCCCCTTCCAAGTAGAGGAGGCTTAATAAAATTTTAAGCAACACAGTTGGTCATGTCAGGATTCTGTGGGGCATATAAAATAGAAGTATAAATTATTACACCCATGGAAATGGGACCTAATTCGCTACATTACTGCTATATTGATTTGAACTTCATCTATATGAGTAACTGTAGTTATTTTTAAGCGTACTTCCTTTGTTTCAGTGGATTGGATGAGATAGTAACTGATGATTTTTCCTTGTGTGATGGGAAAAAAATCTAAAAGCAACCTAAATTTACAGCTTTTAAGTTTTGCAGTGAAATAATTATTATATATAGGTAACCTTCCATCCATCCGTCATCTCTATTGAATAAAAGGATATTGTCTGATTCCTGACTTAAATCACTGACATCTGCTAATGATTTGTATTTCAGTGGTGGGAAATATTTAATTCAAAAGTTTCAAGGTCAAAAGCCTGCCACAATAAATAACATTGTAATAATATAACACAGGAGGTGAAAATATGTTCTATACAATAAGTATAATAAGGCTGGAAATACATGAGAAGTTTTGAGTAGTATTCCCTGCTTGTCTCCTGTAGACACAATATTGTTGCCTTCAGATGTAATGGAAAATTTTGCATTTGAATAATGAAGCATAGTTCCAGATTTTTAAATGAAAACTTTAAATATATGTTTGTTTAAATTTAATGTAGAGATGCACTGAAATTCTCTGAGAAATGCTGCTGATCTTACAACAAAATTAACCTTGAAATCCCAGCAGATGTGTTACCTTAGAAAGACCATCCGCCTGTTTCAGATCTTCTTCTTTATTAGTATATTGTTTTCTGTAGTAGTACAACAAATATTGCTAATGAAAACAATAGTATGAAAGAAATGGAATCCTGATCCACCAGTATTCTAGCCAGCAGGGCTCAAGGTACTACAGAGGTCTCCCTGTCTCATTGGTGTGGACCTCTTCTTTTTGACTTCTCAGCTATGCACAAATCTCCCTGGATGTAAGGCAAGCTTTGAGAGAACATATCCAATGTTGGTTGCATACCCTTCTCCATCTGGGAGGCCTGTAAGAAGACATTGGTGTAGACTTTGAAGGTGATCTGTTCAAAATCCACAAGGAGAGTGGCCAAGGACCACCTTCAGCCCCAGAGCTGAGGTTTTGCACTGTCAGAAATCTTGGCCAAGGTTCTATTCAAATCAAACTGGTCACAAAATAACCATAACACAAGTGGTTTGGCTTTTCAGCAGGTAATGGAAAATGGTAGCTAGGGAAATACTTCTGGAACCTTAAGATCCTGTGTTACTGTACTGGTGGGTCATTATGTTCCATTATCACTGACCAGGATTCAGTACCTAATCAGGGAGAAAGGACCGATTGTTCATAAACATATATCACTGATCAGGATTCAGTACCTAATCAGTAGGGAGAAAGGACCGATTGTTCATAAACATGTTTGAACTTACCTATGAGTTCGAAAGTAGATGGCAGAGAAAATGTGAAATGTCATAGAAATCCTCCCATTACTAATCAGTGTACTGGAGGATTCTGAGGAAAGAACAGCATTTAATTAGTTAATTAATTCCCTTTCCTAGCCTGGCCATGTATTCAGGATGCAATGGTAGAGCCACAGTAGGATTTCACCAGCAGGCCATTTTGTGATTGTTCTGCTATTTGTCCAACATGTACACTAGCATTTGGATCATGTTTGTTTGTTTGTTTCTTTGTTTTTGACTTCTACCTTTTTATTGGTAAGTTAACAGTAATATAATACCACAAATAGGGGTGTGGAACCAGCAGTTTATTCCAGAAAATGAAAAACTTTAGACCAAAAGGCAGATTCATAGGATATTAGGAGGTTGGTTGTCACAGAAGTAAGATCAGCAAATAAATATTTTCTACTTCTGCCCTATGACTCCCATGTAATTACTTTCATCCACTGGTCATGGAGGTGAGGGAATCTGGCAGTTGTCGGCCATATTGTTATACAGTATGAAACGGATTATATGGGGTCATGGGACAGAAGTAGGAATTGAATATCACCCCCTGCTGATAACATCATTAGCCTTCTTGATTCACAGAGTCCCTTCCAGCTCTGTAATTCTAAGATATTAGATCTTCTGGATAATTCAGTGAATAGATGTTGGAGAGTTTGAGTTCCCCACTGTGCCTCCTTGACGGGGTCTGGGTTTGATGTTCTATAGGGTCCCTTTCAGTTCTGCAGTTCTAAGATAGTTTTGTTAATTCTTTGGGCACAGATATGTGAAAAGAATTTCAGCCAGTAATCACTTTCCTGTGCCAAAAACTTGCTTTAAAAAAGAGATTAAAAGTAGCTGGATGCTTTTGGAACATTGTAACTATGGACTATTTTCTTCTAGACCACTGGTTCCCAACTTTGAGTATCCCAGGTGTTCTTAGACTGTAATTCCCAGAAGTCTTCACCACCACCCATGCTGGCCAGACTTTCTGGGAGTTGCAGTCCAGGAGCGCCTGAGTTACCCAAGGTTGGGGATCACTGTTCTAGGCCCAGCTTGGGTCATAGCCCCTTCTGTTTACAAAAACTGTGTTTCATTTCTGAACATTTCTAAATGCTGTCCATGAAAATGCTCATTATCAAGAAACAAAAGCACATTATAAACAATCTTGCAGATTACATTTATGACACAGGTCTGTGAAAAAATCATGCCTTTCAGGCAGATGAGGAGAGAAAAAAATATTGCAGCTGAATGCAAAATTAGTAGGAGAGAATAAATAAATACAGCTTAGATCCTACTTCATTCAGAGCTTTTGAAACCACTTATGAAAAATGTGTGAAATTAATGTGCTTCACTCATACTTCATCAAGTTATTCAGGATTATCAGAATTCAGGTGAGAACATCAAGGTTTTTTGCTTACCCGCTTTAGAAAGCTACAAACAGGAATGTTATTTCTGGAATTAAGCTGGTTGACAGTACAATAATACACGTCTAGTGAGATAAATGTGTGCGAGAGAAATCTATTCAATTATAAACTGCTATCATAGATCCTGTAGAGATAATTCAAGAGCATTTTTAGCAATTGAGCCTTTCAGCATTTCTTGCTGTGAGTCATTATAGGATTCATATATAGAAACCACAATTCTTATGAAGCATTCAGTGCTGAATAATTGGTGAACTTGTGAAGTCCTCCATCCAAACCTCAGGTAGAACTGAGGCAAAGGCAAGTGTAATCCTGATCTGTACCTTGCAAAGGAATGTCTCTCTGCCTTGAATTCCACTTTAGAAAACCTTTGCATTATTTTGTGATTTTTTTAGAGTTTTAAAAAAGGACACTAAAAAGTATGGTTCAGGAAAGTGCATTATAATTGAAAAAGTTTAGCAAATACATGGACCTGGTTCTATTTTATTATTATAATATTATAATAAAATGGGGTGGGAGCAAACCCATCATAATCTAAGCATATTCAACAGTCCAGTCATATCTTTAGATTAGAGTTGGGGGAAACTGCAGGTAGCTTCATTCTTTTTATAGGTCATTTCCAAAACCTGCCAATTTCTTCAAATTTATGCATGAAAGAATTTAAGAGTTTAAGAAAAAGGGGAGAAAACTGAAGCTGGGAGGTTTATCTTTGGACCAGATAAATCTTTGTTGGGCACTTCATCTTCAAAAGTATAGCTTTTGATCCAGTTCCATTCAAAGATGGCTTAATTAGGGTTGCCACCTCTTCCCCCCCCCGAGAGTTTCTCACCTGACAAAAAGGTACGGCATGGTATCCCCATGGTGAAACAGCTGTTTTAGTTTGGTCAGTGCAGATGGGTAACAATTTTGTTTCACTTTATTTCACTTTATATCCCAATTTTCATAAATCATATATTTGGAATGTAAAAAAAAATAGGTTTTTTAGAAAGTAGGATAAAGGAAATATTTTAATTTCTACTTGAAATCAAGAGTAGAGAATCAACATCACTGCCTTTAGCATATCGTAAGCCTTTCAGGGGTCTTTTATCCAGGGCAGAAACAAAGGAAGAAGCAACATTATTCTAGTCCAAAGTTTGGTGACACGAGAGCCGCATTATTTGTGCCAAATTTCCAAATTCAATCCCAGGTTGTTGACATGTTTGGGGACTTTGAAAACTTTGAAACATGAATTGCAAGCTTTCTCTGATTCATGCATTCTGTACCCCTCCAGATGTTGCCACTCTGATGTTGGCACTCTAATGGCAGGGAACTAAATGCCCCAGAACTTTCTGTGCTGGCTGGGGATAGGAGTAGAAGTCAGGTGGCCTCTCCTTCTGAGAGTGGATTTCACTCCTCCTCAGAAGTTGAGCTGTGATATTTTATTTTATTTATTTATTTATTTTGTCCCTGGAAATTTGGTGAGTCAACTCCTCTGTAAATTCCACTGGTAAGTTGCAACTAGAGTAGGCCCATATAAATCAATGGAACCTATGGAGGAATTAACTCACCAAATATCCACTGATTCAATGGGCCTTCTCCAGTATTACATAACTATGTTAAGCAACAGAATTCCATTATGTCTATTGGTGAATATACAGAGAATCATTAAACTTTTATCGTATGTCACTTTACATTTCCAGATCAACTTTTTGAAGACAGAAATGGAGAGGAAAAGCAAAATGATCAGGGATCTCCAAAATGAGGTAATATGGTCATCTGTTGTAGGGGGAAAATTGATGTAATATTAGAAATATTATTATTTTTGCCTAAGATAAGCAATCTGCATAACATTTGTTTTTGTTGAAATAAGATAAAAAAAGATAAAGGTGGTTACTTGGAATGTTTCGATTGTTTTAATATCCAATGAATATGCATGACATTAGAAATAAGTTTTACTTGGAACTTTATTATTGCAGCTATAAGAACATGTCTATGATACCTGGACATTTATCTGTTCATTGTAACTGACACAAAATTAAAATTGTTCTTTTAGTTCATGTCTTGAAAGAATCCAGTATGTGTTCAAAAACTAGAATTCGGTAGCCTGTATATCACAGATTTGAACAGGTGTGTTGAAAAGTGTCATGGGCAGTGTTTATAGCAAATAATGGTGGCAATCAAATACTTGGTAACCACTATGGATATCTCATGTCCTGGCTTTGGTCAAATCCCAAAGCACACTGAACTACTACCTTAGACTGAATTCTCTGGCTGCAGGAGATAAAACAAGCAATGGAGTCTGGACCATTGCAAAATTTAGTGTGTGATTCAAGCTTTGAAAAATTCCACCAAAAATATTTGAGACACTGCCATTCTTAAATCTGACAAAAAAATCCCCCACTTTCTAGAAAATGCCTGGTTGATGAGACAGGGAAGTAGAGAAACTGACAGGTTTATTCTAGGGTGTGGGCCAATCTGATGCCACATTTTAGCAGGACTTTCCCAGTCATTGTGGTCAAGGAAGCATATAGTACATGGCTGTTATCCTCTGTATTTCATCCCTCATGACAACCCTCTCCAGGCTAAGATGCTCCAGCCCAGGGTTGCCTAGTGAGTATAACTGTTAAACTTTAACAGCTCAGTGCAAGCTACAAGGAGGCTTACAGTAGGACACATGGAACTGGATTTATGCTTCAATATAAAGAAAAGCAACAAGCAACAAATACATATGCACACATATACTGTATCTACACACATAAACACATTTAAAAAAAAATCCCCAAATTTTGTTATACCGAATTGGTAGACAAAGATTGTGATAAGTAACAATGTCAATTTTGGATCCCTTAAAATATTATACAGTACATCATTCGAAGATATTCTGGAGTTTGCAGCTCCTCTAGCTGTTTGAAATATTTGATCCTGGGTTGCATAAAAAGCTTTGATCTTCTCTTTCACATTATGTTATATAACTTAGGTGAACCGTCCTTCACCTCCTGTGAGACAATTTAGTTTTCCACCTGTACTCTCTCAAACCTCTTTGGGACAGGAGTTGCGTTTAAATGTCTCTGGGAGAGTTGGAGAAAATCTATGGTCTCCATTCACATAAAATGCTTTAAAAGACACATAAAAGGAAAAGATATGAAATGGGAGCTTTGGGCTGCTTTGGGACCGGCTGCATCAGTTCAGCTAAATGCTTGGCAGTGCCTAATGCATTTTGATGAATGCTATTCCTTGAATGAGATGAAAATTTAGTAGTGCTTTCACCAGTGTATTTCATTGATGAGTCTTTATTGTAACCCCTTTTGCTGCTTCATTGCCTTGCTTCATCGTGCCGTTCTGTAAACTGTAGTTTTTACACTTTTAATAGCCCTAAGGAGGGCTGGAAAATTTCACATATGATTGTTCATAAGGGATCAAAATACAATTTTTATTTCTAGTTGGAGTTTGATACAGTTACTTATTTGTGTTACCGAAGGCTGTGTGAGCGAGTCTATCAATGCAAATTGTTTATCCTCTTTAAATATATGGGGAATTAACATATGTGTGTGGCAAGACTTTTTCAGACTTCATGTTTCACCAGTCATACAAAACATGTGCCCTATGTGTGTAAGTGTTTTCATACATTTTCTGCTCTCCGCATGGCAGTTTGCAACCAAGTGAGACTGCTGGCCATGAAGCCTCCCTCCAGTTTCCATATGTGTTGCCAGAATTTTTGAAATGGACTAATAGCTCAAAATAAAGATAACTTCAACAGTGCCAAGAAGGGAGTTGAATTACCTTTCTGCTCTTTCTTTTTCTGCAAATATTTGTTTCTCCTTAAAGGGGCTGATGGCTATGGACATGCATACTGAAACTCAGTTATTCTTCAGCATTTTAATTTTTTTGAATTTTATGGTGGAGTTCCGCAATTAAAACAAAAGGGCGGGGGGGAAGTATACACAAAAATATATACATGTGTAAAAGCAATATTCATAAATTGAATTAGAAATATTGGCAGCATGATGGGTACATTAGGCAAAAATGTGCATTAAGTATGCCTTAGGACTAATGCACAGGAAAAGGGCATTTTTGTGAACTAAAAATAAACTTGGCGTTCAGGATGAAATGAATTTGTAACTGGAAAAGTTCTCGAAGTTCAAGATGAAACAATTTAAGATTGGAAAACCTAGACTAAATGTAAGGTATCTATCTAAAACTATCTAAAAATTTGCACCCTGAAGGCAGCTGTCACAGGGGCTGAGAAGCTGCTATGCCAAACTTTTTCACAAGGGATATCTCATGGATCAGCCTGGGGCACCTCACCCCACAAATTTGGAGGGGTGTTCCCTATTGTAGTCAAAAGCTGTCTATGTTCTTTGGGAAGATTTTAGAGCAGTAGTGGCCCTTTTGGCATTACAGTATATCTCCTATCATGGCAAAAGCGTACTTCCTCTTTTTATAGCATCATTCCAGCATATTAATGCAAACATGCAGACAAAGCCATACTGTCTTCCAGATGTCCAAGTAAAAAACAAAAGTAAACTAATTTACTGAATGCCAAGCTAATGTTAGAAGAGGCAGTCTTTTCCTCTGAACAACACCAAGCTTTTAGGTAAAGAATTACTGGCCCCTGAAATGTCCTATTGTTAAGAGCTTGCTAAGGGGCTTGAAACTGAAAGCCATAACTTCCATCTCAGATTCAGTCTTCTTTTCTTTCTTTCTTTTTTTTTTTTGTGGCCCATGAAATGTCCTATTATTAAGAGCTTGCTAAGGGGCTTGAAACCGAAAGCCATGACTTCCATCTCAGATTCAGTCTTCTTGTCTTTTTTTGTACCCTTCAACTTTTCCCAGCATTATTGTCTTTTCTAGGCTTCATTTGACTTATGGCTCCTCAGGATGTGTCCAAAAATTGATAGCCTTAGTTTAGCCATTTCCACTTTTAGTGAAACTTCAGGTGTGATTTGATTTAGCAGTCAATGGCCATCCAAGCTCTCCTCCAACACCACATTTCAAATACATCTCTTTTTTTCCTGTCAACTTTCTTCATGGTCCAGTTTGCAGACCTGTACATAACAGTTGATTTCTTAACTCCACTCTCTGTTTGTATTGATGACTGAGTCAAACTAGAGACAATCTTCAACAATTTTGATTCAACCATTATCAACATCACAGTGATATAATACTTCTGTAGTCAGTGTTCAATTGTAATCTTATTTCCACACTTTCTTCTTACACCTTCATCAGTAACTGTTTTAAATCTTTGCTACTTTCTGCAAGTAATATGGTGTCATCTGCATATCTTAAACTGGTGATCTTTCCTCCACCATTTTTCTTTCCTCTATCATCTCGATCTAATTCAGCTACCCCTGTGAAGTCACCGTTGTGAATGTTCAAAAAGTGAGAGGAACCAATTAAAAACAGTGAGCCTTTACTAGGAAAGTTACATTCAAGATACAAAAGCCTCAACCCTAATCCAAACTAGAGATTCTTGTGCACCGAAGGCACATGGGAGAGGAGCAATAACATGTTTGATCTTTAGGGAGTCAGGAAAGAAAGGAAGTGAGACTGTTAGGTGAACCCTGATAATATCAGTGTAACAATAGATATAGCAGAAAGGAGTGGCCAGAGTCCAATTAAAGTGGTTACAAAGTAGAATAATATAAGCCTGGCATGCTCCCCCTCCTCATGCATTTAGAAAACTTAGGCTCATTACACCCAAGAGGTCTATAATCTTTACCAAGGCATCAATTATCACCCTCTGTTTTGGCCTTTAATAATGTCTAGAAAAGCCTCTCTGATCCCAAAAGCTTCCCCAGGTCAAAATGATTCCTAGGAATTCTTGGAGGTAGTAAACTTTTAATTAAAAATAAGAGATGTGGCTGGTGACATCGGCCTTGTGTGAGCAGAGCTGTAACAACAGGATTCTAGTTAATGTATCTACTTTAGTCAGGAGTAACTGGATTGCACCATATGAAAACTTAACCAATGGACAGCATTTCTCCCTATGTCGTGTTATTTAATGTACAATTAATTAGTATATTGCTTTAAAGTATAGAACATGACTTTTGTTAATGACATAGGACAAAGGTATTTTAAAAATAGGGATATTTTAAGGATTGAAAGAAGTATTAAAGATATCAAAGAAGAAATATTATATAATGTGAATGAGAGCTACAGTAAAAAAAATCACGAGAAAATTTCATGTGCTAGACTCACTATATAGTGAGATAAATGATAAAAGGAATAGATTCATTCAGAAAGTTGAGGTTATAGACCATACAGCCACATAGTTCAAGCAGAACAAAGTCAAACATGTAACTGATGAAGAGTAGATTAAAGGAGGCACTGACATTTCATCAATTAATACAAATGAACTTATATTTTATCCCACAGTGATGATTTTAAAAGCACTAGCTATTTTCTTTAAATTGTAGGTGAACATTGCATCTGGATGCTTAAATCCATCAAGTTTTCAGCTGTATGAAAAACATTTCACTCACATTTAAGGTTTTATATTCATTTTGCTCTATAAAAGACTGTGGAAAGGGGTATAGTTCTGTTAGAATCAATTTGGAATATAGTTATATAGAGAGATGGGGGTATTCGTATTATAATACGAATACCCCTGCACAGGTGGAGATAACAAGGCAGAGAAGCTTGTTGTCCTGCTTCCTGCCAGTAGTGGCTCACCAATCGCAAACTGTGGAGAGGACAGGATCATGCAGCCCATGGCAGTGGCAGATCAGTGAGTGGACCCTCCAGCACGATGGGGCCGGACCCT